TTCCCCCTACCCCTGCCTTCTTCTTGGGCTCACGCTCACTGCTGGTTTCTCTACCTCCTCCCTCCCGGTGGCACAGAGGGACAGAGAATGGGAGCTGTGGTCAGTTCATCTTCCCTCAGGGAAGGATTCCTCACATTCTTTCCCTGCTCCAGCATGGAGTCCCTCCCACAGGAGAAAGTTCTCCATGAACTCCTCCAACGTGTGTCCTTCCTGTGGCCTGTGGTTCTTGATAGACTGCTCCAGAATGGGTCTTTTCCACAGGGTGCAGTCCTTTAGGAACAAACTGCTCCAGAGTCCCCTGAGGGATCACAGGTCCTACCAGCAAACCTGCTCCAGCGTGATCTCCTCTCTCCATGAGTCCATAGGTCCTGCTAGAAGCAGGGTCACAGTCTCTTTGGGTGCATCCACCTGCACTGGCCTGGGCTCCTGCGTGTGCTGCAGGAGGATATCTGCTCCACCTTAATCTCCACAGGCTGCAAGGGAACACCTGCCTCACCATGGGCTTCACCACGGGCTGCAGGGGAGTCTCTGCTCCAGAACCTGGAGCTCATCCTTCCCCTCCTTTTTTTCTGGTCTTGGTTTCTGCAGGGCTGTTCTGCTCACATTTTCTCTGGCTGCAGTTACATAGGTTTTTTTCCCTTCTTAAATGTGTTATCCCAGAAGCAATACTACCATCACTGATGGGCTTGGCCTTGACCAGCGGTGAGTCTGTCTCGGAGCTGGCTGGCATTGGCTCTGTTGGACACAGGGGAAGCTTCTAACATTTTCTCACAGAAACAACCCCTATAGCCTCTCTGCTACCAAAACCTTGCCACACAAACTCAGTACAAGTCCATATATCCTTTTTTATTACCTCATCAGAATAGTACCAAAGGCTGTGGTGGGCGAATTGGATTGAACAGGATAATACCAGTGCACGTCTGTGAGCTATGATGTCCCAAGAGAGAAGTTTGGAGGAGGTATCAGCCCCACTTCAGTGAATTACAGCATGTCATCAAGGCAAGCACACATCTTCACATAATACCAATTTGCATTCATCAGCTACTCACTGTTGTGAGCTAAAACACTTCCTAGTATCTGATTTTCCACTGTCTATATTAACCTCTAGTTCTGAAAAGAGAGATAAAGAAATGCTTGCAAAGCTGCTGGTCCCTGAACTAAATAACTGAAAGCTTTGCCTTTTGTTTTCAATGACATCACTTGTTACAGTAGGTAATATTGCCCAACTGTGTAATGTTCCCACTATTCCTATGAATTTAGGAGAGTGTAATATCGCCATTGTGAATTGTGCAATGGAGCTGTTTCTTCTCAGCAGTTCAGTACTGAATGCTTTCATACCAGTCATTGTCAAAAATACCGTCGGAACTTCCCCTAATGACAGCGTGTGAATCCATAAGGACGGCTGAAACAAGAACTGCATCTGGCTTCAGTTCTCCATCAAACCCTTCTAAATGATGCTAAGATAAGAAATACCCTGTGATGACAATATGGCTAACACTCACAATTTTATTGTGTATCTCATATTGTTTAGAGATTTGCTTTCAGAAAAGCAATCTGCAGGATTATCTGAAGATCTCAGGTGTTAATTTTAGAAGTCAATGTTTTAGCTCATGTGTTTACAGGTATAGGAGAATTCCTGGAGAATTAAGAAAGAAGACTAAAAAAAAGAACAGTGTTTGTTATTTTTGAGCTGATCTCATGATTTTTGGTTTCCTGATTCGTGATGCTGTCCTGCTGATGGTAATACGCATGTCATGTAATGGAAATGAACAGTCCCTCCACTATTTCTGCTTCTGCCTAAACAGTCTTATTTTTTAAAGCACCTAACTCCTTCATTACTGGTTGCACAAAAAAGAAATTATAGTTTTACAGGAAAAGAGTGAAACACTGAGTGCACCTATGCTATCCTCTGTGTCCTGAACCTTCCTCTGGTATGGCTACAGCTTTTAATGAAGATTTCTTTTAAATGTGAAAACTGCAGGCCAAAAAAGGAAGAAATCTTGTTCTGGACAGTCTCCAGCTTCTCCTTTCACTTATTTGTTCCTGATGTGTTGTTTTTTGTTTGGTTTTTTTTGGTGAGAATAAGGAAACAACGAGCTTGAATTGTCATATGAATTTTAAAAACAGAGAACCGGTACAGTTTTGCCTGCCCAACTTCTGTTGTAAGAGGAGTCTTGTTTCCAGTGCCTGGAAGATATTTCAGATGCGTCAAGGGACGGAACGTAACAGTATTGCTTCCAGATACTGCTTGAATGATGTCCCAAGTTCCTCTATCACCCACTTCCAGTCTCAATCAGAATTGAACATGAATAACAGTAGTGGATACCACATCTCTTTCAAACCTCAAATGCAAGACATGCTTCCTGTATGCAGATGTTATCCAAAAAAGCAAACCGAGGAAGTGGCCATTACCATGGAAAACAGAAGACACAAGCAAATAAAGAGCTCATAAACATGTTCTAACCACTTATGCCAAAAAGAGAAAATATCCACAGCTAGAGTAAGGCTCCAAACAAGAATTTTCCTCACTTTGCAAATGTATTTGTAGAAGTTTTGGGGTTTTATATTACTTGTTGAGTTCAAACCAGACCTAATGGTAGTCAATACATATCCAGAGCTCTGACACGAAGATTTTCCAGGCTTTTAGCTCTCCTTCTGCAGAGAGGACTTGTTGGACACTTCTATCCAGAACCTGTAGTCACTGTTTGACTTAGTGCTTGACCTAAGGGCAATCTTCCCATTTGTAGAGATCTCAGAGAAGGGAAATTTGCACAATTTTTAAAATCCCTGGGAAGAAATGTGTTCAATACGAAACACACACTAGCATGTTTCACTTGATCCCAGATAATTTTTGGATTTCATCTGTCATCTGATCTCAGTACTTTTCAAACTTAGATTTTTCTTAAGGTAACTTCAGAATTGCCACAGAAACTGCCTCTTTCAAAATTCATGAAACTTTCAGAATTTGTGAAACTGAAGCCCTTTATTTTTTATGGTTTTGTTTTAAATGAATGCCATGCAGAGGTAGTGAATACTTGATAAAACATGCTGAGCACATTCAGATCTGATGTCGAGAAGTATGTTGGTCAGATTAGTGGATAAATAATGTGTAATCTTAGATCCAATTTCTCTGCTATGCCCAGGAGGCACATAATTACTTGCTCTAAAGGAAAAGCAAGGAAGCTACTCTTCTGAGGGAAGGTGGCATGCCATGCTAGCCCTTTTCTAGTGGCAATCACCTTAGTTCTGGTGAACATGCTCTTCCAAAAAAACAGTCAAAAAAGCAACGTTCTCATTCTTTGCCCTGGAGACACACCAACACATATATATTCTCATCAAAGATATTTTTCTTTCCCTCTCATGGCCAACTGAGGCAGTGCACCTATTCAGCAGCTAGCAGATATCATGCCTTACAAACACAAAATAGGCCACCACAAATCCCACGTGAGGTTAAAGTCCATCACTTACTCGAGTTCTCATCTAAATCAAGGGCGGAAGTGATGAATAAGACCAACTTGTGTTTATTTCTTCTTCTTTAATTCTTCTGGCCTCTTGAAACTTTCTGGTGCTCCAGGACTGGCAAGCAGTTTTGGGTTTTTTCCCCCTTTGCTTATCTGAAAACATCTGCATCTCATTCACTAAGCTAATAACAGTACTTGTTACCAGATCCCTTAAAAAGGAAAATAAACCTTTCGGGAAGGTAGTAGCACTAGAAATTCTGCATACAGGGAGCTAAAAAGGCTGTCTCTAGAGCCAAGCGATAATCTCTTCCTAAATATTTTTGGAAACTAACTTTTCCAGTTGTGAGCAATGATATCCTGTTAGTATCAATGGGTCTACATGTCTGAAATTAAAAAAATGTCCTTGGTGCTGGTCAGGTCTGCACAGGCTTCTTCGTCTTCAAAGGTCTGAGACAATTTCAAATTAATGATTTGTGGTTAGTTTTCTGTTTGGTTTTTTTTTTTTTAATCTTGCGCCTGGTTTTATGCTTTTTTAGACTTGTAGTTACACTTTGAGCAAATTCAGTAAGTTAATCAACTGAATAGATCGGATTCTTTCATATCATGCATCTAGGGTTTGGACTCTTTTAGCATTCAGGAGCTAATCTTAGCAGTTATAGTAAACTGATATAAATGTTTGGAAATTAGTCATCTGAAACACACAGAGCTATTCCAGCCTTTCTGTTCTAGGTCAAATCTTATCAGATTTATGCTAATTTATCTGAACCTTCAATAAGCAGTTTCCATTTTTACTCAACAATGTTTTACCATCTTTTCTTGGTGAGGACCTTTTCAATTTTGGCACAGCTGTGGGAAAGAAACAAAGATTCTGGAATAGACATTGGACTGTAACCTTGCTGTGATTTTGTTTTCCTCTGGCTCTGGTTGATCTTCTGCAGCTTGTTTTAGCCTTTTGTTCCTACTACCTCTGCTCATAGCTCTTCTTAGCTCTTCTAAACCCTCACTACTACTTGGGTTAACTATCTTAGCATTTGTAGCCAAGTTAACTTACTTACACTCAGTGTGAATACTTGATGTCCCTTTTGCCTTGTACCAGCATTGTCCTAAGTTATAAATAGCTCTTCTTCATAGGTTCATTTATAAAGATATCTGCTGTCTGTTCTTGTTGATCACAGCTGAAGAAATAAAAGTCTAGTCTCCTCTTTTAAGATGGGCTCTCCATTACCTGATGTGCTTCACAACACTACCCACTCCTGTCTGAATGTTTCTCCTTTCAGCAAATTTTTCACCAAGACTTGGTTATAGACACAACTTAGGCACTTTTCAGAGGTCTTAAAAAATAACCATGGCAGAGCTCCAAACAGCCAAACCTGTCCTTCTTCCCTTTGTGTTTGTTGTTAGAACTTGCTACTTATTATCCAAATACCAGTTTTTCACGTTCTGCAACTGGGCAGATTTTGCTTCTCGTCTTTTCTACCTGCACCAGGGGACCAGGTGTTTTGACTGCATGTGTTGACTGATATTGTCTTTCTTTTCCAGGGAGGCTCAGCTTTTTCTCCAGCATCCATTATTACTAAAAGGAGAGCACAGACCCAAGCAGCAGTCCTGGCTGAAGATGTCGGATGCCCTTCATCCACCAGTGAGGAAATTGTAGCCTGCCTGCGCCAATTGCCCGCACGTGTCCTCAATGATGCACAGACTAAGGTACACCTTACCAAAATATATATCATTGGCAAGGAATCAAAAGCTGTGAGGAAGCTTAAAAAAAAAGCTGGACTATCTTTGGTGGAATGATACCGATGTCTATGATGTTCTAAGATTCTATGAGTACTCACAACTTGATTGTCCTTTAGACTAAATTTGTTTTCCACTACTTTGACAACATCTTCCAAAATTAATATAAATATAATTTTTGACTTCTTTCAGTCCCCTTTTGTCTGCTTCTGGGTGTTACTTTAGAGGACAATCAAGCGTCTGTAGCTTCAGTAACTGCATTTCTGAAAAAAAGGAAGTGGGGAGGGATGTCAGTGCTGTCTCTTAAATTTTACAGATTTACAGAATTTACAGAATTGTTGGGGCTGGAAAAGACCTCTGAGATCATCAAGTCCAGCCTATGACCCAATAGCATCACAATGGCCAGACCACAGCACTAAGTGGCACATCTCTTTAAACCCCCCCAGGGACGGTGACTCCTCCACTTCCCTGGGCAGTGCATCCCAGTGCCTGAGCACCCTCTCCCTGAGGAAGGGCTGCCTGAGACCCAACCTGAACCTCCCCTGATGCAGTTTCAGGCCATGCCCTCTCGTCCTGTCACTGGTTGCCCAGGAGAAGAGCCCAACCCCCACCCGAGTGCACCCTCCCTTCAGGCAGTTGTAGAGAGTGATCAGATTCCCACTGAGTCTCCTCTTCTCCAGCTGACCACCCCCAACTCCCTCAGCCTCTCCTCACAGGACTTTCCCTCCAGTCCCTTCCCCAGCCTCGTTGCTCTTCTCTGGACCCGCTCCAGCCCCTCAAGGTCTTCCTTGCAGTGAGGGGCCCAGCCCTGCACACAGGGCTCGAGGTGAGGCCTCACCAGTGCTGAGCACAGGGGCAGAATCACATCCCTGCTCCTGCTGGCCACACTGTTCTGACACAAGCCAGGATGCCATTGGCCTTCTGGGCCACCTGGGCACACTGCTGGCTCATGTTCAGTCGGTTGTCAGCCAGTACTCCCAGGTCCCTCTCTGCCGGGCTGCTCTCCAGCCACTCCTCCCCCAGCTGGCAGCGCTGCAGGGGGTTATTGTGGCCAAAGTGTAGGACCCTTCACTTGGTCTGGTTAAACTTCATTCCATTGGCCTTGGACCATCGACTTAGCCTGCCCAGGTCCCTCTGCAGTGCCTTCCTACCCTCCGGCAGATCGACACTCCGCCCCCAGCTTGATGTCATCTGCAAACTTGCTAAGGGTAGACTCAATCCCCTCATCCATGTCATCAGTAAAGATGTTGAACAGGACTGGTCCCAGTACTGATCCATGGGGGAAACCACTGGTTATTGGACAACAGCTGGATGCAGCACCTCTTGTGAAAGCTGCAGTGAACATGATTCTAGAGATGGATCCTTTACCCACAGATAGAAACACCCACTGGGAACTAATTTTTTGATCAGGACCACCACACAGCTAATCCCTAATTTAAACCAATATTTTAATGACCGTAAGACCATCAATTCTCTCAGCCGATTCAGCTCCTTTCACCTACTGAGACTGTCAGGAAAAGCATTGGTTCCTGCCAATGGTGAGTTTGTGCTCCTGTTAACTGCTCACTGCTCACTTGAAGGCTATCGACTCATTTGTCTGAAGCATAAATAAAATGGAAACGACCAGGGGCAAGCTAATTAATTGCACTGTTATTGCTGTTTTGCTAACCTAGCTCTTGGCTATAAGCGGCCCGTTCCAGTACTGGAGTCCAGTGATGGATGGAATTTATGTTAGGGAACCTTTAGCTAAAGCCCTGCAACGCCCTCAGCTTCGGAAAGTAGATCTGCTCATTGGAAGTGCTCAGCAAGATGGATTGATCAGCAGAGCAAAGGCAATTAAGGTAGGAAGATGATCACTGCTTTTGAACTCATGGTAGTATTATTACTATTATAGTGATGACAGTAATCATGTGCAGCCAGGATAGATGCTTTTTAATTTCTTCAATTTGTAAGTTAAACTCCATGCAAGTCATAGTCCAACTCCAGCCAATCCTGTTCAGACTGATTAATAGCATTATTATAATTGTTGTTTAATATTATTGAGAAAGGTATGAAAAGGTAGGAGATCAGCAATGATTTATCATGTTTTAATATGCAGCAGTGTGTTTTTTTCCATGCCAATGTGGGGTTATTTGTGGCAACCTTTCATTCTTGGTTGCCTTTAAGGAGTAGTTTTTCTTGTAGAGATGATTCTGAACACGGACTAGCTGTCATTTAGAATAGCACTAGCCTGACACATGTGCTAAGGTTTCAAGGCATAAACTAGTGAAACAAGAAAGAATTGTGTCTGTGCTGTACTTTGGACATAAAAGTCCTGAAAATCATGAAGGTCTACGCAGGAGTATTTTACATCTTCTTATGAACTCTCTGACACTGTTTGTTCTTGAGACAGCATATCAACCTCTTCTAGTGCCTTTGTTCTTCTCGATAATGGGAACAATAGCACTTCCCTGTTTAACACTGCCAAATTAAATTAGGTGTTCCAACATGCTCAGATATATGCTAAGAAATCAACAGGAGAACATGGCAGGGATTATTCTGAGGGCTGTCTAAGTGAACAGCAGATCTATTGCTATCTTTCTGTAACTGTAGATTTCACTTTTGGAAGCAGTGAAAGGTCAATCCCAACTTCTTTTTGCTGGTAGCCAGTAACACATAGACCAACTTATTTCATATTTAATGGCAAAATTACCACCTTGAAAGAAGGCTTTTTGACTCAAATAAGATTCATATTGCTTGTTTAGTCTCCATCTGAAGTTTCCTACTCTTCTTTCATGTGTCATTCTCTTTTGACACCAATTAAAAGAAGAAGTTACTCAGAGGAAACGGACTGTGGTGCTGGAGGCCTGGAGACAATGATCCAGACCCTACAAGAGGGGAATAAACATCAGTAACCCCATTGTAAGCCATGTGATGAAGACTAGGTAGTGAAATTCTTTCCTTTACCACAACTTCCACATATGACAGTTGTCTGCAACACTGAAGTGAAATTCCGTGATGTCTTAGAAATTATGCAGCAGATTATGGTGTTAATGAAAGCCATACGTGCTAAAAGCGAAGACTGTTATGTGGAAATGAAAAGGAAAAGCACCTGTAACTGAGAGCTCAGCAGTAAAATATTGTCTTTTGAAAAGAAAATCTGAAATATATTCTTTTATTTAAAAGCTTGCAGAAAATAAGATTGGAAAGAGACGCAAAAAATCGGTGCAACTGAACCCTAAGAAATAGTCCTATCTACCACAACCTGAGAGACCTTTTTTAAAGTCTGTTACTGTTTGAGGTCTTCTGATCTCCTTTGCCAAAAGTTTAACTATTTTTTCTGAGAAGTATAGTTAACTTCTTTACTAGATATTATAATGGTATCTACCTTACATGGTGCTGCTTCTGTAAGTCAGCTTCCATCTCTGTTCCAGGAAATTCACAATGTTCATGGTAGGTGGTTATATTTATTTTCTTCTTTTTGACTTTCTTAAGCTGTTTCCTTCCTTGTCCACATAGTTAAAGTATTACTTGCTGGGAAACTATAATACTTCCTCTGCCATTTGGTTATTTAAGAATATTAATTTTTCAAGTCCTCCAGTGCATTTCTACATGATAGTCATGTTGCAGTCACAGTCAGATGATAGAGTCCTGAGTAAGCCACAGACATATTTAGCTACAGTGGCAGAAAGTGGTACGGGTGGTGGCCGTTACTGAGAAGTCTGTGCACAGTTTCCTCTGTCATAATGTCATAACGGATCTTTGATCAGCGCTACCTATCGTCTCCCCACAATAGACCTAGAAGAATGACTGCAGAAAACAAACACTGTATCCCTTATATTTTATTCTATTTCAGGACTCCCTTGAGGTAGATCTGACTTGCATCTTTCTGGGAAAACACAAAGCTGGTTTCACCGATGCACTAAGGAAGATGGGAGGGCTTAGCTGGTGAACAGAGCACTGAAATCAGCTTGGGAAACCAAGACATAGTTCCTAGTTTGCTTCTGACTACAAAAAAAGTTATTTAATCTGTTCCACAACAAGGGGTCCAAATGCCCCAATGGTGAAAATCAGTCTGTGGATGTGCTCCAACTTTGTAGGGAGAAGAATGATACATGTATTTGGGTAGATAAATGGCACAGCTGAAAGGCCCTGTGGCAAGTGTATGGAATTGGCAAAGTCCTTCATTTTGATCTCCTTTAGGATGTCTGATTTCTGTGTAGTCAAATGCAAAATAGGAGATAGATAGAAAAATTTAATCCCTGGTGACCTGTTCCACCAGTTCCTGGAAATACCTCTGCTGGCAAATTCAGCCATGGTCTTTAAGGTGCCCTTCCAGCCGAGGCCATTCTATGATTCTGTGATTCTTCCTCCATTAATCCTGGTCTTGCTCTATTAATACGGATCCTGTAAATGGTGATGAGACACTTTTAGCCATTTGGATGCAAGCAAGCTTGAGATGTGATGCAAATCTTATCACTTTAGTCTGGAGTTGCATGCAAGTTTTATAAACTCTGAGTAGTCAAATCTTAGGAGAGAGAGTAAAACATCTAGATTGCAGTCAGACCTCGGGGTGGTGAATCCGGTTGGCACCATGCTGTTCTGTAGGGGCTTGCCGGCATTTGGTTGTATTGGGTGTATCTGTACTCCCATTGTAACACTGTGCTTATGCCTGTCAAGACCTTTACTATTAAAAATGAAATAGCAAGACAGAAGGCACCACTTATGTGCTAGCAAAACATCAACGTTCAATTTGTTTGCAAAAGGCTGAAGTCTCTCAGTGACGTTTGCAGCAGAGAATATGCTGAACACTCGTGCTTAATGTCTTGCCCATGGAGATGACCGTTTTATGGCATTCACTTCAATGCTTATTCATGTGAACTGAGACAGATTCACCACTTCCTGGAGCACTTCGTACTCATCCCCAGTGCAGCCATCAGATGGCTGAAACTAAGTGAGAAACAAAGCAGAGTTTGTTAAGGGAATGGCAAGAGATACCATAATGCACTATTATGTGGCATATGGAGCAGCTAAGCCTGAACCCGTTAACTGCAATTCCCATGGCAGACCTTCAGGGATATTAGCTTTGAGCATAGATTAGGGCAGCTGAGCAGAAACCTCTAAAAATGTTGCTTTCGATTCCCAGCTGGGCAAAATTCTATCCCCGTGCTATATGTGATGCTCAGGTGTGAGGATGTAATGGTTCCTGCTGGCATTAAATATATGGATTCACTCATGCCGCTCTCTATCTGTTTCTCCGTATATGCATGTAAGTCAGTATAGCCCGGCTTATAGCCTCCATGTGTTCTCTGCCTACTACGTAATCCCCACATTGTAAGGGCTGTTAACTTTCTTTTCGGTTGGAAGACTAAGATTGTACTTCATGTGTTTTTCTTTTTCTTTCGTTCTCTCTTTAATACAAATGCAGTTGGCTACAGAACCCAGAACCAGGACATAGGGGAGTGGGTAGATAGAAATATAGTTTATTTGCCTCATGTAAGCAGCTGGGTCTATGCAGACCAGAACTTCCATCCTGCACTATATTACAGTTAATTTCCTTATGGATAGAATCATGCAGCAACATACAACAGATGGTAGATATTTGTATATTAACAGTAATGACCAGGGGACCAGTGTCCCGATAAATGCCGTCAGTGAGAAGGATGGGCTGATATCAGCTCTTTACTTCATCTTGCAAATAGCTGGAATCTTTGAAAGATTCTGATGAACAGCTGCCAGGTCCTTCACCATCTTTTCTGACAACGTTTATCAAAAGATAAAATCTGTACGTACTCTCTTAGTGTTTTCACTCTTCAGGTTTGTCAGAAAAGTACATTTTGCCCCTTGGAAGATGAAATATTTGGTCCATCTACTGCCACAACGTATTTTTAAATAAAACTGAAATAGTTTACTTTTCAAATAAAACTGCTCCAGAAGCTATACTGCAGCAACAAGAACAGTAAGCATTATTTAACTCAGTATTTAGGCAATGTTTAAGATTTCTTTGTATCATTGGAATGGCAGAAATTGGTGCACCTGCTGTTTTTAATTATTTTCTTACTTGCTTTCTAAAAAAGTTGAAAACCACCCTATAACTCTGAGGTCAGTTGCTAATAACTCTTTAAAGGTTAACAAAATGTAAAATATTTTACATAATGTGCAGCTGTTTCTATTAATCTGGTAACAGCTGTTGTGTCTACTGCTATTTGAAAATTGTTCCTTGGTCATATATTTCTAATAGGAAACATTTGCTGGATGTGGAAAACTGGTCAAACTGGATTAGTTTCTGAAAAGTTAAAATGCTTTGTCTTTTTAATATTTCATGGATTTTATTCTGAACATATTGCTTTGTTTTGTGCTATCATGTTAAATTCAGTTGTTTAGATTATATTATCATAAAATCATAGCACCATAGAATGGCTTGGGTTGGAAGGGATTTTAAAGATCATCTAGTTCCAAACCCCTGCCATGGGTAGGGACACCTCCCACTAGACCAGATTCCTCAAAGCCACATCCAGCCTGGTCTTGAGCACTTCCAGGGAGGGGGCATTCACAACTTCTCTGGGCACCGTGTCCCAGTGTCTCACCACCCTCACATAAAAATACATCTTCTTAATAACTAATTTAAATCTACCCTCTTTCAGTTTGAAATTGTTACCCTTTGTCCTGTCACTACACTTCCTAATAAAGAGTCTCTCCCCATTTTTCCTGTAGCCCCCTTCAAGTGCTGGAGGGTTGCTATAACGTCCTCCCAAAGCCTTCTCTTCTCCAGGCTGAACAGCCCCAGTTCTTTCAGCCTGTCTTCATAGGACAGGTGCTCCAGCCCTCTGATCATCTTTGTGGCCCTCCTCTGGACTTGCTTCACTAGGTCCATGTCCTTTTTATGTTTGGGTCCCAAAGATGAACACAGTACTCCAGGTGGAATTATTGCAGTGAAAGCAACATTTGAGAAATCAGTTTCAGATTATACTGTTTTAGTGCTGGTTGTGATGAAAAATCTCAAAATGTCTTACAAATGCCAGTTCTGTTTCCCATCCATCTCTGCTGGTTGAGTCCTCTTTCATCTGATTCAACACATCTCAGGGACCTCATTCTATTCTCAGCGATTGTTGAGAAAGGTCACCAAAGCTTTTGGTGCATTTTGAAGAACACAGAAACTAGTACGTTGGCACAGTAAAAACCTGAGACTGACCGTACTGAGTCAGATCAAAGGCTCATTTAGCACAAAATGCTGTTTCTGAGATTGGATGTTTGTAAGAACAGGGTAAGCAATCTGTAATTTCTGCTAAATGCTCTCCAAGCCTCTAGCACTTTGCAGCTCCGGGACTTCCTAACCTGAATTGGTCTTTCTGTTTTCAATAACCATCAATTGATTTTATTTTATTTCTTTTTAAACTCAGGAACTTGTTTATGAAACTTCATCTTTGTCAATTTTGACATCCACAAAGCCATGTGGAAAGGAGTTCCACAGTTTAACCATGTGTTGTATGATGATCCATCTCCTTCTCTCTGATTTTCAACCATAATGTTTATTTAATGCTTGGTAGTTGATGAGGCAGTGAAGGATAAGTTCCTAGGGTAGATAATCAATATCTTAAGGTTTTTTCTTTGTTTTTCTCTCTAAGTATCCATGAGAGGAATAGAATAAGGTAACAAAACCATTATAAAAACTCTCAAAAAACCACCAACAAAATGAAAGCGTTGCATGAAAGTTGCTTTGTACACGATGCTTTACATGTAAGAGCTTGGGCTCTGCACTAGCACGGAAAAACATTTGTTCTTACCCATAACTGATAGCCAAATCCACCAGCCCTAGTCACCAAATGAGAGATTCCTAATTAGCAGCAATGCTGATGGAAAAACTGCTTTTAAATTCAGTGAACTTGCAGTCAGGTCTTCAGTGATAATTTCAGTTCCTTGCAGAAAAAGATATGTGTCCTTGCTGCATCTAAACTGAATGATTTTGCAGGCAAGTATGCTGTGCATTTTCATATATGTGGCAGCTGTGCACATGAAGAGACGTGTCATGTGTGAGTTGCCCATCTTTCTTGAAGTACAACTGTATTACTAAAACTGACACCACATGGTTCTTTTCACATTGCATCAGACAAAATCTAGTAAAAGGAGAATTTATTACAAATAAAAGGAAAAGTTCCAAGATCTTTTTTGACCTTGGGATATTTGGTAGGCTTCTGAAATCCCTTGTAAAGGGATCACTTGATCAAATGCACAAAGCATTAGAGTACGTCAGTAAGGACAGGTCTCAGCCTCAGCAGACAGGGAGCTATTTTCCGTCTTTCTTTTCTGTGAATCTGTTGAAAAGTAATTATTCCCTCTGTAGTTTCTGTATAGGGTTGTGGAAAGACCTTCTAACAGCATGATGAAAACCAGCTGTGGGTCATCAAAATAATACATTCAGCATCTATGGTAACTGGACTGGGCAGACACCATCCTATTTTGCATCAGACTGACTGCCCAAAATAATATTGGTGGTTTATTAAATCTTTCTCTCTGGAGTTCTTATACCAACTTGCAGCCAGTGTACACCTGCAAGGTGCCCTCTTTAGAAGACTTGATCCATGAGAAAGATCAGGTTATGTTTTATATTTTTTTTAAGGAAGTTGCTCTGCTTCTGAACTTGAAATAAATTATTTTAAAAAAAAGGTGAAAAGTCTGAATTGATAAAATACAAAATTTCCTCACAGAAAGATGTGTTGAAAACTTCCACGAGGCTTTATTTTTGGTAAAAATAAGATCAGGTACGCAGCTTGGCATAGAAGATGATCGTTCTGCTGTCAGTAATTCTGCAGCAACACCGTGACATGGGCACTCTGCTCTGAGAAAAGTGCCTTTACGTCAGGAAAGGTTTCAGACCACAGATCTCAGGAAAAGTGTGTTTCACTGTAGGTCTCTGAAAGGCCATAGAGATTATGAAGTTTGAAGATCATGGCTGCTCATTGCATTGGGATTTGGAGAACGAGGTTTTCTCTTCAGGCGCTAAGGCAGATGTTATTAAGGCAGAAGGGACCTAAATACAGGCCTTTTGGCAGCCACATTTCTTTGTAGGTGATTCCAGAAAAGGCAGAGTAATGTAACCATAAAATGGCTATATGATGTGCTTGCTTTCAGAAATTTCCAAAGGCAAGGAGCAATAGCTCCCTCTCCCCCCTCTAATTTTTCTTCAGGAAGCCTGTCAGCAAGACAGCATTGAGCACATCTGCAGTGAAGAACTATCCATGTAGACTACTGCTGTGTAGTCTACTACTGCTACTAGTGGATGTTTCTGTAGTGTTAGAATTACATCCACACAGCATGATTTAGATTTGCTAGATTAGGAATTTAGTCCTGTAGTATGTTTTGAGTAAGCCAATACTGCTGGCTGGTGACAGTTTTGGGAAAGCAAAAGTAGGCCTGCCCTACTTCTTCCCCTAGGAATGAGAGATCACAGCAGAGAAGATTTGTTCAAGCAGAGGGAGGACTGAGCCTATATTATTCCACCGAAAATCATAGAATCATGGAACAGTTTTAGTAGGAAGAGATCTTCAAGATCATTGAGTCTAACCTTTGTCATAGCTCTATCAACACCACTAAATCATATCCCTCAGCACAACATCCACCCATCTCTTAACCACCTCCAGGGACAGTGCCCAAACCACCTCCCTGGGCAGCCTGTTCCAATGGCTGACAACACTTTCAGTAAAGAAATTCTTCCTAATATCCAACCTGAACTTTCCTGACACAACTTAAGGCCATTAAAAATGTATCTTTTGGTTTTGTTTGTAAATTCCATGTATGCATTTGGTTTCAGAAATTTGAAGAAAGTCAAGGGAGATCCAACAGTAAAACAGCCTTTTATCAGGCTCTGCAAAACTCTCTGGGAGGAGAAGACTCCAACTCATTCATTGAAGATGCAGCTGTATGGTATTACTCCCTCGAACATTCAACTGATGATTATTCATCCTTTTCCAGGGCTTTGGAAAATGCCACCCGGTAAGAAACTCATCCTATTACAACTGTGTGATTGGGATTAAGCAAGGTGTGTTTTGCTTATCTCAAGTGTGCATTTTTATTCTGAAAAACTTGAGAAATTCATATGCAAATGAACAGAAAATGGGGAATATGATTTCATTTTCTGTGAGGTTTTTAGTGTCATTGGTAAAAAAAAAATTGAAGAGACTTTTATGCCTTGTGAAAAGTTTGAATTGTCTTTCCTGAACTGTATCTTAGATTCAGACTACTAATGCTTCTTCGTTTACGCTTTCATGTAAAAGATGTCTTGGTTGTTTGCACACTCTGCAGTAACTATTCCTTGAGTCCTCTCACCCCTGTGACAGTAGAAGAATTAATAGATTATAGATCATAGATCACAGAATGGCCTAAACTGGAAGAGACCTTAGAGACCATTTTAATCCAGCCTCCCTGCAGCCAGGGACACCACCACTCGACTAGATCAGGCAACACACGGGGACTGAACGGGAATCAAACCCATGACGTTAGCGTTGTTAGCGCTATGCTCAACTGACTGAGCTAACTGGCCCCCTAATAGACTGGCTTTTATTCACAGTGACCTAATTATACAGTTGATACTTTCATAGAATTTGAAATTTGAAGAGTGGTCCAGTTTGAAAGCTTTGTTTTCAGCAATTATATTAATTTTTATATTATGAAACCTGCAAACGTATTTCTTCCCAATGTCAGGCTTTCTACAGCTTAATATCATGTAAAATGGTGAAGCATTCATGAATGTTCAGAAAAGTGTCTCCCAACCCCATTGTGTGAATTGCTAATCTCCCTTTTATCTATGGCAGAAGGATCCTCCTTAAGCTTATTCATAAATTTCCTTGACCCTTGTGTAATTGTTTATATCAGTGTACAGTGATTGTATGTCACCCAGTCTGCATTTTGATTCCTTTGTGTATCATTTTCTATGATGAGAGAAAGCGAAATTAGGCAAGAGGATGCTTTTGTAAGAAGTCTTGTGGTGGTGAAAGGAGAACACATGCTCATAGAATCATAGATTAGAAGAATCATAGAATTATAGAATGTGTTGGGCTGGAAGAGACCTTTAAAGGTCATCTAGTCCAATCGCCCTGTGGTGAGCAGGGACATTTGTGGTTGAATGTTTGCAAATGTTTGCAAATGCATGAGCAACTTACCTCCAGTATACTATGGTATACTGTAGAGACTGGTGGATATCTTTAGTTAGGTCACGTGGTGGTTTGGTCTGCAGAGGAGACTGTACATTTTGTTCTCTACCCCATGGGCAGCCAGTTTGCTTTAGCAGTTACGGATCTTGAGCTGTGCGAGGGTGTGCTCATTTCTCTGAAGGGAGGTAAGGAAATCTTCTTACCTCCTTTTTCCTGCCTCACTGCAAACTAGAGGGCTAAATGTTTAAGCGGAACAGACTTTCAGTTGTAGTGTACCTGTCCAAGCTGTTTCACCTCTGTTCTGAACCAAGACATCATAGCTACAAGTGCCAAGAATCTGCGCTCTCAATGTTACAGCTTTCCATCCCACCATAACCCTCTCCATAAGACCTTAGAAACAAGATTTTTCTTTCAGTCCCCCATCAGAATTGCTACGTGGGAGCCTCAGGGAGCAGTAGATGAACAGGAGCCAAGATTCACTTGGAAACATCTGATCCAAGACAGCGGTGACCAAATATGTTTGGGGAAGGTTTCTGGGTGGTCCAGGTGTGCCGGTGCATTGAGGTCACGAAGTAAACAAGCCAGAAAACTGTGGATTGAGCTTGATGCCTTTTATTGAGTCTTGCACGATGCCACATTTGCCCTGCCTCATAGCCTGCCCCAGGGACAGGCCACCCATCACTGTGACATCTGGGGCCACTGCATGCAGCGCACATGGAAATGTTGTGGTTCATGGGCATTAAAACCAGAACTTATCTTCAATTTCTTTCCATCACCATCATTACCTATGAGGCTATAATTCTTTAGTCAGATCAGTAAGGTGTTAAGCCATAATAAACCACAGAAGCACTTAAATTTTAAATCCTTCTTCCCATCCAGCTCTACCTCTGTAACAAGGTGTTATAACACAAGGCTGTCACATCTGGTCATCCACGTTTGGCACAGGACTCAGTGTGGTGCAGGCACCGCTTTTTTCAAAGTCACGAGGGCTGGCACACCACTTGCTTGCAGCCGGACTGTGACGTGCAGGTGGATCCCCTGGCTTGCAGCATCAGCCTCATGGGCACAGGGATTGCCTCTTCGTGCTGTGAGGCAAATGGCTTGGCTAAGGAGAGAAGTGAATGGCCCAGAGTGTCAAGCAGAAGGAGGGTTAGTGGAGTTAGGACATCTGATGAGAATCCTTTGCTTGAAACACTTTACAAATTGCTCTGGCTACAGCAGAAAGTGAGGGGAGACAGCAGTTACAGAATGGCAGTCACCTACATCCGTATCACACACATGGTGAAGAAAAGAGGCGTTTGTTTTTGCCTTTTTGGTGTTCCTTTGTTTGATTGTTTGTGTAACCCAAGAAAAGTTGTATGTCAGGAAGTCATACTTAGTTGCTAAAGTTATAGAAGGATAATGAAGTGTCAGAAAGAATCATCAGTGCTTTTTCTAAACTACATATATTGTGCGTATTTTGTGGTTTTAAAATATTTCCACTTTTGAAATTGTTTTAGCTGCAGTTCTCTGGTGTTTTTCCCAGGTATAATATGAGTTTCATTTTCTTTTTCTTTTCTTTTTTTAGCTCTGGTATTTAATGCCTGTAAGAAACAGCCACTTCATTTTTGTGGTTACTTTTTTTTTTATTATTTCCCCAGAATAGCTGACTTTTTTCCCCATAATACCAACTAAGAATCAGTTTTAAGTGGTGAAATGTATCTCAAAGCATTTCTCGAGAGCTAATATTCTCTGTAGACTCCCTAGTTTTCAAAGGCCATCTGCTCCTCTAAAACCCCATGCTGGTAGGCATGTGAAAAACAGTAATTTTCACTTCATATGGGTGTTGTCAACCATAACTGTCAAAGAGCATTGTGGTCAGTCAGCCCATAGCTTGTGGTCTCAAAGATGGGCTTAAAATATTTTCAAGTTAGTTACCCAAACAGTGCCTTTCATAATCATACTAGTTAAATATAGCAACATGTTTTTATGCTTTTCTGACAGTGTTCTTTCTTGCCATCAGTCATTCTTTTTTTACCTACTAAATCTGAAGGAGCAGCTACTGTTTCAGATTCACCAGACAGAGAATTGAAACCTCCCACATCTGCAGCAGATACGTTTGTGTGTGCTCACGTAGTTATGGATATGTAAACACCCAAAGAGCATTCTGAGTCTTTGGGCACATGTAGAATGAGAAGTGGTGATATGAGTATATATAATAGAGCCTTGAGGAATCATAATGAGATATCTTGCAGTAAGGTGTCCTGTTTTCTGCCTCTTCCTTTTGAGTTACTTGTCCTCCTTCTAGCTACTGCTCACCCCACCTTCTAGCCCGACTTCTGAGGTCAATGGAAGATAGGAAGGTTTTAATACATTTGCTTCACTCCTACCTTTGCATTGCAATATATATTAAACAATTCTTGTTTAACCTTTCTCTCCCAGATATACTGCACCAGATAGCCTGAACTGATGAGCCCCACCAGAGGCTCTGCAAGATATCTCCAAAAGTGGTCTCTTACCTCTTCCAACTCTGGAAACTCTATCCCAAAAAAATCACACAGACGAAATATCAAAACGATATTATTGATCCCTGGCCCAGGAAACACATAAGACTTTTTACTAGATGCCATTGCAACCTAGTGGTGCCGGAAGAAGTTGCTTTACACTACTATAAGAATGGGCCCTCATAACCTAGACTAAAAGGGGATTTTTTAATTCAGCCACGATACTTTTTATGTGTCAGATGTGGTACCCTTAGTATTATTAATAACACTGTTTAACACTCCATAAAACAGCAGTTTTAATGAATTCTAAATTCTACTGAGCTCATAGAGGGTGAATGTGGTTTCCCACAGTAGACTTGAAAGGAGAGATATGAGCTGTTTTGGAAGATTTAAAGAAGCCTGTCAATACAGAGAGAGGTTTACTGGTCATGGAGTTGGTTTTTTTCCCTTTTTATAATTTTATGTGACTGTGCCTGTTCCCTGCTCCTCTTTTTTTATCAGTGACCAGTTCATCACGTGTCCCATCATAGACATGGCCAGTCACTGGGCTGCTGCCTCCAGAGGAAATGTCTTCATGTACCACGTACCTGAGAGCACCTCACAGAGCAGGTAAGGACATGTATTTTAATATGTTTCTTGGCTTTAGGGTTTGTAAAAAACAGGGCTGTCTAGGCATCCTGTGGTACAAATGGATAGATGAGGTACCTCATATAAACAGCTCAGATTAGCAAAGGGGACAGGACTCTGCTAGATTATTTCTCTCTGTCGACTATATATGAATGATGTTTCTGAACTGAGGCATTGCAAATTTAAAATTAAGTTTCCCTTTTCCAACTTACCTACCTTTGCCAGTTCCAGATAGCCTTTTAAATTTCTACTCTATATCTGATAAACCTCCCACAAAGAATCAGAATGTGGTCAAAGTCATCCGGAGCCCACAGCTTTGAAAGTAGATGGGCTAACATTTCCTAAGGTCTTAACATTAATTTAACACTGCCCCCTTTTGAAGTCCGAGCAGTTGCATTGCAGTTATACTGCCTGGCCTTCAGCATGGACAGATTTATTGCTTTCTACTCCGGCACCATGACTTGGGATCAGCCGGCAGAATCTCTCATGTGAAGAAAAATATTTTTAACACAAGCATTTGCAGACTCAGGGTCTCATGTCATCCTCATGTTAGAAGCGTACCTGAAAAATTTTCAGCAGAAGCTGTATCATATTTTAGACAGAAAGGTCTAAATGCCTGTGGGAGATGCAACTAGCTTGTTCCCTTGGGCATAGAACAAGCTGGTGGTCAGAAGCTACTGAAGTGACCTTCCCTGCTTTTATTTGAGATCCAGCCCCTCACGGATGTCAGGATGAAACACAGTGTTTTCCAGGAAGTGGTCAGCACTTTGAGCCGCTATGTGACACATCATAGTAACTTCTGGTCCCTTCCTTTCATAGGATGAGTGACCAGAAACTGTGGTGACAGTAGCCCCTCCTGTCCCCTAGCTCCACAGATTAGGGCAGCAAAGCACACGAAGATGCTTATCTCCCAGCTCTTTCCTTACGAGGGAGCAGTGATTGTCCCCTGCTCCCTGTACTGCCCCATACCTCTCTCCAAGGGAGATTTTTGAGACATATTCCTTTTTTGCAGGCTTTCTCCAAAAGAGCTCAGGGGAGTGACAGTGGGTTCCTACTGGCACCATTTGATACCGTGAAGTTCCATGCAAACTACGTGTTTTTTAACCTTTCCTGATAGCCTAATGAAAAAGCATTTGAAAGAACCAGCCAAGATCTAGGTTACAGATGAAGGCCATTATGCTGTGGTAACACAGGCTCACTTTCTTTTTAGTCGAAAAAAAAAGTTAATCCTCAGGGAGCCGTTATTTCTCTGGCAGCTCCAGGAGGAATGTTCGCAGTGCTCTGTTTGGCTACTGATAGGCTCAGATAAGTGACTTTTACAAGGCTTCAAATGGGGCTGAGCTACAGTATGCCAAAAATCCAGCCACACACACAAAAAAAGATGTGTTCTCAAATTAGCTAGAAACTTTTCTCTTGCTTTGGAGACTGATAGTGACCCATCACCTCTGATAAGATCATATTTGAAATTAGAGGAAATAGTACTTACACAACTTAGACTCACGGGCTTTGAGGCAGTGATTTTGAATCGAGAAAAATTTCCTCTCCTATCTAGCCCTATTTAAGATTTCTTTTGTGCTTGTGGTATTTAGCAACCTGCACACTCTCCAGTGCAGTGGTATTTTATGTAGCACTTTGTTTTAAAAATATTTATGTTGTCTGTCATTTTTAAGCTAATTACTTTTAATTTTATTGCAAAATTTATCTGTTTGCTTTTCATAACCCTCTTTAAGAGGACAAACAAAGCCAGTATGCTGTGTGAAACTTGTGGGAATGTGAGGCAGAGGCCCAAATGCCTTAGGCTAAGCGACCTGCAAGGAGAAATACCAAATTGGTATGCTGCATTTACACTCCTGCTCTTTTCATTTTTATTTATGCTTAAGAACCACTAAAATAAGTGTTGTTTAGCTCAAAAAGACAAACACTTAAACAGAAATTGCAGAATTCAGCTTGTCCCTGTACCGCAGGGTCTCATTTGACACTACTATGTGACTATTTATGAAGTGATACCCTTGTTTTCCCAAGGGAACTCACACTAGGTCCTCTGCTGAACATACTGGGAGGTTTTTTATTTAAACACTGCTGTCATTCATTCCTAAATGAATCCTTCCTTCTTATTCATCCCACTTTTGCCACATGACCTCTCTCCCTCACTGTCCCTACAGCACTCTCCCCTCCACATAGCCCATGTGCATTTCAGGCTGCCCAGCAGCCTCACTGCATGCCAGGGATGTGATGCTCTCTAGGGCAGGAGTTTCGCATGAGTGGCTGAAAAATATGAAAAAACCAGCAGTAATCTGATCCAGCAAAATGCAGTGTTTGGGAATATTGTTGGTGATTTGCCCTGCCAGATTAAAACCAATTATGCACGTGAAACAGCATTTAAGTAGAATACATGAGCTAATCTTGGGAAAAGGTCTGCCAGTCATGTCACCAGCTCACAAGGGACTTCTCTAAACATTGGAGCAATGAATCCTGATAGCTTTCAAATTCTTCTTTGAAAATTGTGGCTCATCTTAGGAGGAAGAACAGAGGCAGATACTCTTCCAAGTAACCTACAGTTTAGGTTGGAAGGTAGGATGTGTGGGTTTGAACTTCCTGAATAGAAGAACCCTGTTACAGACATTTATCTGGGGTAATGAGTGCAAAACCCAAGAGTATCTTTTGCACATAGTAGACATGGACAGGATATTCTGTGTGTACACATACTGGATCAGGTCCCCCTTGGTGCACTGTAGCTGGAGGAACACCTCATTAGGTATTCCTGATCACCTGCAGGCATTTGACAGAAAAATTATTTATCTGCCTGTTTGATATTGAATCACATCTGTGACTGCTGAGATGCAGAGCTTCACTTCTGAAAATGGCAACTTGTATATTAGTGTGTTTGTAGGGTAATGTAAGAGATAAATTAATGGTTTTTTTGGTCTTGGTGTCTAAATTCTTCCCAAGATCTTAGTTTACAGAGGATATGGACCTCCTTGCATTTGTTATCTATATCACAAAGATTATGATGATAATATAATTATATATTATCTATAATTACTACATTAAAATAATATTGGGTTCAGATAACTACAACAATGAAAGACTATTTACTCTTAGATAAAATATTCCGGCTGGGGAAATGGCCATTCACTAATCAAGATAAGACAGAGTACTGTAACGTATTCTCCAGTTTCTACTCTGTCATCTCTCTCCTGCTTTATGTGTCTTGCAAAATGTGCAGCAGAACAGAGAGTTAAAATGCAGAGATGAAAAAGTACTGATATTTCCTCTTGTTTCACATGGAGCAGTGCCTTAATAACTCACAGTAAGATGTAAAAGAGGGTGGGAGAAGTCAGCCAGCAAAGACAGACCCAGCTGCAATGATGCAAAATAATGAAAAAGTTATTAAATATGGATAATTTTTTACCAGCACAGGTCAATTAGCAAAATGTATCTCACAACTGGGTAATTCTAAAATGACCACGCATACACACAGTCAGGAATGCATAGATGGAGGGATAGGATTAAAAAAGACCACACTAATCTGACGTCTACAACATATGTGGAAAATCACATAAAACTGTGAACTGACAATTTTCGTATAGATGAATGGATCTTGCAGAGAGCAAACTAATATCTTTTTCCACATGGTAGCATTCTCCCCAGCTTGGCGTAACACCATGTCTGCTTTAGTCTTCAATTCCTATTTGAATAAGAAGTGGGATGCATAGCCAGTATCTCCTGCATCAATGATCTGTGGTAAAAATATGTACATAACCCAGATGCCATTTTCTCACTCTCTTCTTGAGAACACTTAGGCCTTGGAGTAAGCATTTATTCCAAACAATGCAGGAGGAATGTGACTGCTCAGCATTGCCTAGGATTAGTGGGGAGAGCTGGAGTATAGCTTTAGTTACAGTAAAGAAATATGTGATAGGAGAAATATGTTTTGACAAGGATAATAATATTAACTGTACAAAGATTTGCCTCATTAACCCTTCAAGAGGTTTCTGGGGGATTTTTGCACTGCTTGCCAGGCCAGTGTAGTTTCTAAGTCACACTGTGGTGCCAGAAGCTCTGTCTTAAAGATGGTGGATAAAAATCAGTGCTCCGCAAACTGAACGGGGCAGATCATCAGCTGCAACAGGATGGCAAAGCATCATTATTGTCATTGAAGGGGTCTAAACTGAGACTTAATGAGGCTCTATCTTATCATTAACATTATCATAATAATTGTCATAAAAGCTTTTGTTAACTGTTGTACACTGCACAGATTCATCCAAGATGAATTAACTGCTCTCTGTTTTGAGTCATTTTAGATGGGGCTGTCTTTACCTCCTGACTATGCACTCTCGTATATGTTGGGGGGGGACTTGTTAAAAAACTGCTTCATGCCAATGCTCACAGTTGGCTGGATTTTGATGACACTTTTTATGATTCCTTGCTGAAGGCAAGAACTCCTGACTGACTGAAGAAAAAAGCAATCTATATGTATACAATCATTCAACTATGCAAAATATTTTCATTTTCTATTTATTATGTATGCTGTGCTGATTCTCTCTGTTCTTAATATCCCTTTAATTACAGGACATTTTTCCACTCTTCCAATTTTTTCATAATCATAACCTGTCCTTTAATCTGTTCAGCACTTGTTGTCCATTTGAGGGGCTCCTCCTGACTGCAGCTCTTAGACCATGAGTGAAAACACCTTGTAGGCTGGGGGGCCACAGTGTGAACTGGCTGCTCTGGAGGCAGACGAGTAGTTATGTCTTTGCGCTTCAAAGATATTAATCTAAACACAGAGGGCAGGTAGGGCACTGGGGAGGTGGTAAAAAGAACAAGACACTTGAACAGGTTGCCCAGAGAAGTTATGAATGCCCCCTCCCTGGAAGTGTTCAAGGCCAGGCTAGATGGGGCTTTGAGCAACGTGGTCCAGTGGGAGGTGTCCCTGCCCATGGCAGGGGGTTTAGAACTGATCATTAAGGTCCCTTTCAAAA